ATACACACACACACACACACACACACATATATATATATATATATATATACACACACACACACACACACATATATATATATATATATATATATATATATATATACACACACACACACACACACACACACACACACACACACACACAGATTGTATCCACACAGTTACATACTCATATATGACAGTTATATATACATGTACATACACTTCCCACGCAACAGAAACATAGAAACATGTAACGGGAGCAGGATAAATTCCTGTGGGGGTGAGGGGGGCTGACAACCAGAGCCATGCCTCTTGCAGTCAGCTGTGTGGTCACCATTGGTATGAAGCACGCCAGAGGTTTTCCCCAACCTCTCAGAGGAGGCACAATCAATACCATCTAATCCGCAAAAGGACCATAACTCACTCTGCTGGCAAGGAGAGAAGGCCTGGGGGGGCGGGGTACAGTGGCTTCGAAAAAATGCCCCGGGCGCTGCCGCTCCTTTCAGAGCATTGCAGCGAATACCGACTCAGGAAGTCGACACACAGCTGGCATAAAAATATCCCTCGGTAAATCACAACAAACAAACAGACAAACAGACAAACAAACAAACAGACAGACAGACAGACAACAAACCCGGCAGCTCTAACCAGGACCTCAACCGGTTAAAGTGGGCGCCTCTGACTGCTGGTAGCAATTACCAAGTTATAATCAAATTCCCAAAACCCAGACCAGCTACACAACCGTGAGGCTGAGCTTGTGGCAATTAAAATGTGTGCGGCTGCGGCAGAATGAGGGAATGAAAGAGAAGGAGGAAGATGGGATGAGAGGAAGAGCAAGTCCACCGCAACGAACACGACTGAGGACAGGAAAGAGAATGAGGTGGGAGAGAGAGATGGACTGTGGAGACGGTGATTATAAGGCAGGCTGTGGCCTTTTCCTTGAGAGCAGAGCCAGGGGCACGGACCACACAAGCTGGAAGGGAAGGTTTTCCGGGCCCCGCAGCAGCATGTGTTAGTCACTAAGAGAAACCATCAGACATGGCAGGGCTCTGATGTGGAGGAGGGCGGGGCAGCGAGGGAGGGGGGGCACATTCTCCACATTTAGCATAATCACTGGGGAAGTTTCCCAGCCAGTAGCACTCCCACACACACACACACACACGAACAGCCACACGCACTCATAAGAGGCATGCACAAAACACACACATGGCCACAAAAGTACACGCATGCGCAGCACAATGCAGAGGGACCCACCGACTCAAACCGCGAAACAATACCTAAGACGTGTAACAGCAAGGCAGCAACGGGGACAAAGGTGGCTGTAAAGAAGGACCAGACTGTGCCATCAAAGCAAACAGCAAACAGGGGACAAGCCTCACACACGCTGAGCAGCCCTGTGCAGATACAGCAAAATAGCCGAAGCAGCGATTAAACACAGGCTGGCGTCGCAAAGCCCCGGGATGTTATCCTCCCAACATCTGACACTCATCCATACAAATTGGATTAATATACACAAACTAATACGTTACATGGTACCAGCCCTTTGATTTACTCTTTCTGTCGTGATACACACATGAAAAAAGACAAGGACTGGCAAACTCATGACAGCACATGCTCTCCGCTGCAGTTTCACAACGTACTGCCACGGTTCGAAAGGCATAAAACAGTTCACATTTTTCCTTTTTTTTCCCCTTCCCTGTGGAACCACAGTCATGAGGGAATAAACAATTACAGGGTTAAGGATTTCACTGAACCTTCTTCAAAGCTGCATATGTAGGGACCTACACCACTGGGAAGAAAACTATCATCCATTGCAGGAGCTTGTAATGATGCACTAAAGGGCGAATAAATGCCTTCATCTATTTATTACTGAGGACTTATGAGTCCAACACTAAGCTGGAAGCAAAAGTCATCAATCAGGAGGCTGACAGGTGGTCTCCACATCGGAAGGCAATGCTGGAAGGTTTTGTTCCTGTGGTAAGCCATGTGGGAATCCCGTGAGGAGCACGCTGAACAGAGGACCCCCCCCAAAGCCCGCTAAAGACCCTGTCACCATTCGCAAGCCCTGCCAGCGAGCATGCTGGGACGCAGCCATTCCCAGCTGTGCCTTATCTCCTGTTTACACTGAAAGCAGCGCTCGGAGAAATCCGACGACGATGACGTCGGGAAGCAACCACAGGCAAGTCTCAGTATGCGAGCCGCTCAAAAGAGACGCCAAGATTCATCTGTGGATAAAGTCCGACAGAGAAGGCAAGGTTTGTTTTTAACCATTTCCCTCGGCAAGCTTACATCACGGTGGCGTGGTGACAGCATAACAAACTCAATAGACCGTAGTTAATGTTAAGCAGTGAAGGCGGTTTAGATGACTAATTTGAAATGAAATGCCAAGGCAGGGTGATATGTTACTGTCATGAGCAAAGATCTCATGAATCCTCGTCGTTCATCCAAAACGTTTCCAAACTGCCGATTTAGGTGATGTGGGAGGATCTTTGAGCTCTCCTCCATTAGCCATAACCAACTCATGGCCACAATTAGTTTAATGCTGAACATCTACTTGTCAATTTAGGTTCTGCCCGAGTCAAGCGATGTATTCCTTCATTTCTTTGTGCATACCAAACTGAAAACGATGTAGCCAAACTCAACAGACCAAATATGTGTATGTTACAGCCCTAGTAAATATGCAGTAATGTCATGTCTAATGGTAGCTAGGTGCTCTATTAAAGTAGGAAGAGAACTTTTATATTTTACTGATAGCTAACAAAAAAATGAGTTTCTGTTGTGCCAACCAAGTATTTATTTAAAGAAATGAGGCCTGAATATTGAAAATTCAAATTCAAGTAATGTACTCCACCAAGGATGGGTGATATGGCAAAATATTTTATAATTTTTTTCATATCAAACGATATTGATAATTATCATAATATAATCCAAGTCATGAGGCCTATTTCTTTTCTCCAATTACAATATTCAATATTCAAATTCATGATGATATGTCTATAATCACTATATTTCATCAGAATATTGCACAGCACTATACTCCACACTTACAAGAGCTTTTTTTAAGCAAAATTCTTTTCAGTAGCTAGTTATATAGTGATAATGTTACTGCCACCTCAGGGAACATAACTGTTCTGTACATTTGCATGTTCACAGGATTCTTTTATGCAAAGCAACTTCACACAAATCATATTTGCCTCCAAACACAATTAAGGTAAGCGAGGTGAGCACATTTGGCACTTGCTGAGACATGAACTAGCAGCCTCTAGGCAACAAAGTCATGGTCTTATCAACGGTGCGACCTGCTGTCAACATGAAACCTAAGGCAAAAAGGCGGGTAGACAAACAGAATGGGGTGCTCTGCTTCACGGTGGGGAAGCCGTTCTTTCGGGAACTTGGAGGAGAACTTGGCTTTCCATAAAGCGCCAGTGAGCTCCACCACAGAAGAATGCTCTCTCTCTCTGCTATAATCCTACACTGTGATTCCTCCCAAAGCTGTTCTGACGGGTTTGAGGTCTGGGCTATCTGTTGTTCTGCTGCTGTTCTTTGCACGCCAGAATATTTGCACATATTATGTGTGTGTGTATGTGTGTGTGTGTATATATATATATAAAAAAAAAAAATCTTATTTACACCTGTTGTTTTTCCATCAGTGGGGTGTCCCATAACTTTTGGCAGCAATACTGACTTTCTTCATTAAACATCTAAACAAAAAGAAGGAAATTAGTCTATAAAAAGTAACACTGCAAAACTCAAATAGTTTTCCAGTTAATTGGATTTCACTTTAACAAGGGAACCGTACAATATGTGGTTGAGAAAACTAACATCCCATGCTGCTGTAAACTTGTGAAGCCTGGGTATCTTCAGTAAAATATGGAACTCTGGGGTAAAAAGCTTTTCTTAGTAAATCTACAGAACAACCGTTGACAAAGCAGCCAGCTTCACTCCCTAAAAGGCCTCCATCCCACTAATAAGTCAGATCACATCTGGCAAATTAAAAGTTTACTTTAAAGGCACCGTTTTAATTAGCACTGTGTTTTATTAGACAAAATCAAAAGTACACACATTCAGTCTGGCAAAAACATGCACGTTCCACACCATTTGGTGGAACCCATCTGCTTGAACTTGGAGCAGAAGTTGAAAGGTAAGAATCGATTATTTATCGGCTTGTTTATGGGGATTTCAGTAAGCTTCTCTGAGGTACGTGCCATTAGCCACCGGCGTCTTTTTGCTCAAAAGACCATAAATTTCATGGCAAAGGCCAGAAGCCCAGGTGTGGCTGCAGAGGACTGAGAGGGAGAGGAGCAAGACCATCTAATCTGCCTGAGCTCCGCTGACCTCTATGCCACCAAACCTGGCTTCTCCATGCGGGGCCCTTTTACTGATGGCTGAACAACCTGTTCATTACAAGTTGAGGCACCACCACACATAATGTTTTTGCATAAATCCAAGTGGTAAAACCTCTCATATTACCCGCGTTTTGTCCTAAAATCTTCTACATCCTTGCAATAGAAAAGAATCTGATCGAATGCATAATAAATCATTGTATTGTCTCATTCATGATTTACCCATAACATACATGCAAAATAAAGAATGCCATTCTTGGAAAGGTATACAATGTTTTAGTGCAGTGACTCTCAATCCAGCCCTCCAGGACTCAGACATGCCATGTTTTTGCTCCTATCCAGCTCCCCATCCATCAACCCTATGGGTTGAGAAACGCTGTCGTAGTGACTGGTATCTCCTTCAGCACAAGCTGGCACACCAGAGGTATTCATCTTCACAGACCTGCTTCAGCTTACTGATGCTTTTGGCCTGCCTTACATGAACTGATTGTTTCACTTACTGGAACCTCTGACTCAAATTACCCCGTAAATTGAACAGATTTTTAAAATTTGCCCAGCACAATTCTATCAATTGTATAAAGTCATTGAATTTTCAAATTCAATTTACTACCAGTTCACAAAGACTGAATATTCCATTAAGAATGAAACATGTATTTCTAGAGCTCTGGTGTAGTTACCTTTTCACTGCAGGGATTTGGTACATCAGCGTCTGTGGTCTGCCTAATGCATTCTGCATGCTTTTTTTTTTTTTTAGAGTATTAACACTTAGCATTAAGCATCAGGAAGCTATACAGTATATTGTGATGTGCAAGGCTGAGTTAACTTACAGGTAGTTATTATAAGTGTTTTAAATATATTTGTTTGCAGAGGCTGAGCACACAGCGGCTCCAGCTCACCACATGATGCAGCTGATCGCACAAAGACACAGGCAGACCTACCTGAATCCACTGGTTGGCTTTAAGCTCAAGGGACCCCTGGGGCTGCACACTGTACATGCTGTGCAGGCACTGCAGCAGACAACCCCGGCTCTCCTCTAACACAGAACCCAAAGATAAAAAGAATTTCACAATAGGCCTCGATAATGTGAAGGCAATACTGTACATGCAGGGGTACAGAAACAGCCTTCATGCCTGAAACAAATGTCAAGCGGCCTGGCTATGCTTAACTGCTCATCTCAACTTTCAGAAACAAAACCACCATGGTACTATGTGAGAACAGTCTCAATGCACGCAGAGCCAATCTCTGCGTAAACATCGATGGCCGTACACATTGTGTGTCATCACAGGCCAGACCGGCTTTATTGGGCGCATCTGGACAGCAGAAGGGCAAGTCACAGCAATGCGAAATAAAACCATCACAGTGCTAAAACGGCTCTGACAGGGCCTGGTGTTGTACTGCATGTCCCCAAATGATTTCCTGGTGCAGTGGAATTTTACATAAAGACAATACAGCCGCCACCCAGGCAGTGCAATACGCACGCTCCCCTGAAGGGGGCCCTCCAGCATGCTGCATGATACAACTCAAGAAGAGAATGCAGCTACGTGGCCATCTTCCAAAAAGCAAAACTCAACAGACCCAAATAGACATTCACTACATGTCTGTTTAAATGCATGAAAATTTATTTAACGGCCGGAGAAGGAAAAAGTGGCTTCTGGGGTACAAATTTATTCATGGTAAAACAGGCAGGGTCTTACTGTCAGCAGTCACGAAGCTGTTCCAGCAGAGTCTTCCCAGGAACTGGCCCACGAAGGGAGCCGCCCTCATCACCTCCTGGGTGGAACCCTGAGGAGGATACGGGTACTGAGGTCAACATGACATCCATGTTTATCCATTCGGCAGCTCAAACTCCTGAGCAATCAGGTGGCCAGATAGCATGCAAGACCGAGGGGAGAAACCAGCAAGTGCAGTCTGAACAGGTGGTTTCTGAGTCCTCTCAAAATCATTCATCCCATCACTGAGTTTCACCACAGAAGAGGAACAGTAGTTACTTCTGTGTTAATTTTTTTCTTGTTAAGCAAGCAAATTTAAAAACTATGAGAAATCTAGAACCTGCCAGACGATAGATGTTTTTTTTAAGGAAAAGGGCCCCTTTGGAATGACAGAACACAGAAGGGAAAGAGAGAGCAATGAATGGGGAAGCGGCAGCTATTCCTGGGGATGGCGTGCATGAGGTCACGTGACAGGGTGCAGAACTGCTGGCTAATGTGCAGCCTGCAGGCAAGTCTGCAACCTGCCAGAAAAACCCTCTGAGCTCCCGAAAGTGACACCCACACGTGGCCACATGCAGCGATCACCTGAAAAGTTCACGCAACAGGCCTCAAATCGGGTATGAAGGCGAGAACAAGCTACCTGACAGATATCTTCTTAGTATAAATTTCATAGCTCCCAGTATTTCATCTTCTTCATGTATCGTCAGGGCATATACAGAAAGGTGATGGAAAACAAATTAAAGAACAAAAGCAGGGAAAGCATTTCGAAATGCTTTGAGGCAACAGAAAAATAAGGCGGGGGCAGCCCAAGTCTTTCATATGCCAGGTTTAATTGAAGCAACATGCAGCTTTTCACAACAAAGGATTCTCTTTTTTCTGTTTTTTAACAATCTTCCAGCAGCAGGCGTGCTTGCCCCTCCTAAAGACAGGCCCGGTATCTGAGGGAGAAGTCAGGGGTCGTGACTGGGGTGTGCGAGACACCCCCAGCAACAAGGTGCTTGGGCCGGCTCCACTTGGCTCAGACAAGAAGCTAAGCCGGCCGTTTAGTAAACATCCTCGGAGCAGTGGGAGAGAAATGTATTTCTAATTAACTCCTGGCCGATCTCGGCAGAAATGTTATCCCCCCTTCCCTCGTTAAGCTCTGGACCGTATCGCATCACTGAGAGACCAGAGATGCTCAAAGTCGGCTAAGACATTATGCGCCTGCACTGGAAATATCGCTACACACGAGGTGAGACTGGCAACATGATCCTGTGCAGCTGCCATCATAAACAGATTACAGAATGTCTGTTCTGAATACTGGCCGTCAAAGAGTTTTTGTATCCTAGCATGATTATTTCATATATTGCACAAAACAAACATGATACACTATTATGCTATTAAAATTGCTGTATAGTAAACAAATTAATAATCCATACATACATCTTCCCACCGCCTGTTCTGGTCAGGGTCATGGTAGGGAGGTAGAGTGTATAGGGTTAGAGGTATAGTCTGGATGGGATGTCAGTCCATCGCAGGCAGACACAAGCACACACACAAGGGTCATTTAGACATGCCAGTTAACCTGTCTGTCTGTGTTTGGACTGCAGAAGGAAACCAGAGAAGACAGAGGGATCTGTTGTGACACGTGGAGAACATGCAAAGTCCACACAACCACACACACTCTGGAGGCCCCCCCTTTAACCACCATCATGCCCCAACACCACAATCATAATATAAAATTGCAAAGAAATGCGATATTGAATTTTTAATCAGTAATGGAAATGCTCCACAGTACCTTTAAATTAAGCCTTAATTTTTTAATAATTGCCTTGCACATAACAACTGGTTGGACCGCTGATGTTTCTAAAAAGACAGTTGCAGAATTAATGGGACCCAGTTTGGCAATACTGCTATACTGCAAGCTTACATATTATTTCAAGATGCACACAGCACATTAAATATACACGGTAAAGAAAAACAGACTGGTTCAGTACCATGTATGTACAAATGACTCAGTTCAGACCACCTATAAATGTACATGTGGTATGTGTGTGCGTGTGCATGTGTGTGTACGTGACATAATGCTGCAGGAATGTTCATCTAGATAAGTGCTTCAACTGCACTGTGATGTGTGCTGGAACTGGGAAACTGGGAGGGGTGAATATGTCCCTGAGTTCAGCACAATGCCAAGCTCGGCCCTGAATACAGCTAAATAATAGGTACAAAACTGAAAGGGCACAGGAAGCACACAGCAGAGAGCCACTGTGGACAGCAGGGACCTCTCAGAGACTGGATTCAGCCCGTCACAGACCAAAAATACATATCGTAAAGTGGTGAAACTTTACAATAACATTCCTTAGTAACTAATTAGTAACTCAGCTACTACTCAAGTACAAATCATGAACAAATATAGTAGTTACTTGGTTCATTAATGATGAACAAAAATGAGATCAGAATTTCACTTTTCTGTTATTTGTTCCTTCAGTACTTCAGAAAGGTTAACAGAATTAACAGATACAGTAACAAATATAGAAACTGCTTGAAATAAATATGTTACAATTTATTAATGACAAATGAACATGAGATCAATAAAGTACAGTAATTAATAGGACTAACAGATAAGTAGTGGTACTGTAAGTCTTTTTTTTTTACTTATTGTAAACCTACTTATTGGTTTGTTAGAATCATAATTACCAATATCTAGCAGGTTGATGATTATAAGCACACTATAAATTCACGCTTAAGTAAATTTTATGTTAACACTCAGCTCAAAGACATACACAAACAGAAATATGCTTGTAAATAAGACTTAGTTTGTGGTTAATACATTAAGTAACTGTTGGCTCATCATTAATTAAGAGCATAATAGTGCATTATATGTGCCCCCTCAAGTAAAGCTTTTTTCCCTTTCCGTTTGTGGCCTTGTGGCCTCAGTGGATACAATCCGGCACTACATCCACCCCAAGTCCTCGTGGGTTTTCTCCTTTTAGTCTAAAAAATGGGTTCAGTGCCTTGTTATCCCTAAACTGCCAGTTGTGTGACTGACTGGCGACCCAAGTCTGTCCTGTGTGTTCTGGAACGGGCTCCAGGCTTGGCTGTCCCTCTGCTGGATGAGCAGCAATGCAAAAGAGACAGATGCATGCTTACCAGCAACAGGGGGAAAATTTTAAACAGGCCAATGGCGGATGAGTAGCAGACGTGAATATATTACAAAAATGAGTAAAACGGTCTCAGCAAGCACGCAGCATTTCATCACCACAGTATTAGCCCACCGGTCCATTAAGATGTAACAGAAAGATGTAAATGTAGATGCCAGCATCCCAGTGGAGGGGGACCGGAGGAAAGCACGATGCACAGACCCACAGTCACGCTGTGACTCTAACGAGGCCCCTATGAATCATACAGCTGGCCAGAGCACCGGGGGGCAGCGCTCCGCGTGCAGGCGGCTGTGCGGACGGCTGTGCCGGACGGCGCGCTGCAGGAATGCGGAGGGGTGCGGCGTGTCCAGGGGGGACATGGGGGTAAGGTACAACACAATAATCTTTGAGATATCTTCACTGCTTCCCCCCCCAGCAGCCATGTCTGCCTGTGCAAGAAACGGGGGAAGACTCTTACAAACCCCCCCTCCCCACCCCACCAAGCCCCCAGTTCCTGCAAGCAAGGGGAGGAACGTTTATCTATACCAAACAAACAAGCAAATGGATATAAACCTCAATATAGGTTACCTCAAGGCAACAATAAAGCCAAACCTGTTGTTTTTTAACAAGTCTTTGTCAAGGAAAGACACCGTGCTAATCTATAGATCACCATCGCCATCGCTGTCACATTGCCGAAGATGATGCAAATCGAGAGGAATGATTACGTCCTGGCAGGGTGGCCATCGCGCGGACTCAATTAAATGCCTGACGACTGAAATCTCATTTTTCTTTTCCACGAGCCAATGCCTGAGTCAACTGCACTAGTGGGGTAAGTCAACCGGGGCGGAATAAAGGCCCCCTTTCAAGATAAACGGGGGCGGCGGGAAGGACGGCACATGCTAACATTGCTTTCTCACAGGGCCTCATCCGTTACACGCGATCCAGCAGTACTTCGGGTTAGCTCTGCCAGTCCCCTGGCGGCCATTAGCCCGCTAACTCAGGCCCGGGTCGCTGCCAGCCGCCCGCCTCTCCTGCAGCACAGAGCAGCTCCTGTTCACGGCCCTGTTAGCTGCGGCCCCAGCTGAACACTCGCCCAGTAGCTCTTGTCAGAATCTTGCTTGGCTGCCCCAATTATACAGCCAACCTGCAGATCATATTAGAGGCTCACGCTGCAGAGTTTAAAGCCACAGATTTGGGCTCACAGATCACGGGCACTTCAGGCCCTATCTGCCAAAGCTCCTCGGAGTGTCCAGTTAGAGAGCGGAAGAGCAGGAGTGGGGAGGCAGACGGCCGGGCCCCAAGCTCCCTGGGGAGCCCCTAGGAGCACATTCTGGAGGACTCACAGCCACTCGCAGCTCTAGCAGGAGCCGGCCGAGGAAAGCCCTCAGCTGGCCGAGGTGGAGGGCCACGTCGTGCCGGGTCGCAGGGGTCAGGGCCTGGCCCCACTCCACCGCCTTGCCCATCCAGAACTCCACGAGCCGCTCAGGAAAAGGGCCGGTGTGGCTCATGGCTTCAGGCCCATGCGAGGTCTGGGGACCACTCCCTGCAAGAGAGACACAGGGTGGAATTCAGAAACACGCTGGGGGGAGAGTAGGGGGGGGCTGATGAAATTCCTTTCGTGTGTCCTGCTGATTTGTGTGGAAAATGTTTCCAAAAACAAAACAGGGGGGGGTGGGAAAAAAATCTGATAATGAATCTTTTGTGCGCAGCCCGAATTGACAGAGTGGTAGTCAGAAAATTACAGTTAAATGTGCAGTCCAGCTGGGGCTCAAATTTTTACCATCTGAATTTGTCATCACCCAGTATTTCATTAGTAGGACTGTTTAAAAAAAAAAAAAAAAAAAAAGTGTTCATCTACAGCGCTGAGCCCAGCAATAAAGCCCCCAGACTCCGACTGAACTCTTAGCACCTCCTTATTCTCAGCACAAAAGTATTTCTTACAAATTAACGTCATTAAGCAAAAAACGCCCCTCCACAACTAATCCTCTCACCTTGGGTTTCAGTTTGAAATGACTAACAGATACTTTTCTCTCTCGGTTTCAAAAACAAAAAGGATTTACATTAAAGAGGGAAAACTTAAGTGAGGGGGAAATTGCCCAGTGAAAAAAGCTTTCCAACAGATTCCCAGCCTTGTGGGGTGGAGCAGTCAAAGTCATAACACTCACCACACTGTTTTTTTTCTCCTTAGTTATTTACAGATCTTAGAAGACAAGTACAATGATTTCTTAATTACCTTGTTGCTAAAGAGCCGCTTCATGTGTTTCCATCATCGCAGCAGGATGGCTGTGTAAGTCTTGGAGGAGAAATGTAAAATTTTCACTGCAAATGTTAAACCCTGCAAAGAACAAACAGCCCATCACTTTCAATGGTGATAGTAACACATTTCTGCTATGCCACACCTCAATACCACTGCAGTAGAACACATGGTGATGACAGGAACGAACACCAACTTTAGGAAGTAAATTGGGGGGGGGGGGGAGAAAAAACAGAGAACCAATTCTCATGAATGCTGAGCTGATACTGGAGAATCACATGAAGATTTCCATCCATCTTCTCAGGTGGGTCTGGAGCCTGTCGCAGGCAGCATATGGCTCAAGGCTGGCACACACCTTGAGCAAGGTGCCGTGAGCACCGACAGACACACAATGAGCAATTTAGTGATGACAGGCAGCCTGTCTGCATGTCTTTGGACTGAGAGAATAAGCCGGAGTCCCTGGAGGAAACCCACAATGAGAACATGCAAAACATGAAAATTTAAATAAAAACACATAGTAATCTGAGAGAGAGCACACTGATTTTCCTCATGAAGTAAGACCATTATAATCCGATAAAGTGCCAAAAGCCATTACTGCCATGTTTTCATTAAAACAGCCACTTTTTCCAAAAAATACATGGCTTGCATTTGGCAAAGCTGAAGACATGAAATAAGAAACTGGATGTCAAATTTATATCTATAAATAATCCGCATACCATTCAGAATGTGGCCAATCTATTCTGACATCTTTATACAGTCTTTAAAAGAGTGTTATGATTGTCCAACAATAGGAAAGTTTGCTTGGAACAGCAAGACTGTGCTTCACCATGTAAAAAATGCCGGGTCATTCAATTTTATCTCAAAAATGGCCTTTGCGTCACCATGTGGTTTGGGCTATGCCTCTATGCCTGTGATTGGAAGGTCAAACCTGGCTTCGCCAGAATGATTATTGGGGTCCTTAACCCCAAGCTCCACGGGACCCACTGCAGGTGGCTGCCCTTCGCTACCATGTGTGTCATGATGCGCTATGTAAAAAGAGAATTCCCCCACAGGAATCAATAAAGTGTCATTACCATTTTGGATAAAACTTTGCCTGCAAATTACAAATACCCTCCAGAACTCAGAAATGTTGTTTTGTTTAAAAAAAATCCATTAGAGATACAGTTCCTTTTCTACACTGTGGGTAGCAAAAAAGAAAGATAATTCAGAGTGTTTCCCTTATAACTATTTTAGTATTACAGCTAAATCACTTACCTATAGCTCATTAGAAAGCTCAAAAGTATTTTTTCATGGTATTGTCAAATTTAAGTTTCTAAGTTTCTTTTTCCTAGGTTTTTACTACATTTGGTTATACGAAAATAGTGAAGGGCTTGGAGTAACAAATCAGTTTTTATAATGAAGTACATAGATGATGTATGGGTACTATTTGTACATAATAAATTGACCTGTTATTTTGTCCCCTTAATGAGATATGCACCCCAAAAGTTACTTACAACTAGAAGCTTCAGTAGATATTAATTCTTAATTGAGCAATTCACGTGCCAAGTTTCATCATCAAAAATGAGGATGCAAAAACTTGGAAAATTAAAACAGAACTACCCAACTTGCACATCAATGCTCAGACAGGCTTAAAATATCTCAATCATTGCAATGTGTTTTGTGTTCTTCACCAAACTGAACTATGCACAGCAGCTCATACCATGCTTAGTGTGTTCTTTGCATATTTGTAGTAGGGCAGCACAATGTTGACAATACATTTTGAGACATATGTCTTCACATGACATGGCAGTCCCAGTAATAACAGGTAATTGAATGTCTGAATGAACCCTCATCCTGCTGCAGTCGGGTGCGATCCTTCAGCATAAATCCAAAATGCACCTTTCACTTGGGGATAAAAAAAACAACACCAAAAGCAGCACTTTGCAATCTTTCTCTTCACTTCTATGGGTATCAGCTAAACTAATATAAATCTGCAATGGCCTACACTTCAATTTTGTACATAAAAATCCATAAATCATTTAATTTAATTTAATTTAAGTTCATGAATAAATCATTTAAGTCCACGTGGGGTCATTCAAACTTAAATATCTGATAAAATTTATCTTTGTGATTCAACATTGACAACAAAGAAGAAATGACTGTCTGGTTTATCTAAACTTCCCATTTCTCTAAAACACGTCGACACCTTCTTATTGGCACATTAAAGACACAGCACAGTTTTCTGGCATAAAGCTCTCTGCTAAACCACTATTAACACAGAAAGAAGGGGGTACTAAATAAATATCCATTTGGCACCCAAATTATTTTTCTACTTTACATTGCACTCCAGCTCAGTTCCCTCAGTCTCCAACACACTGCCGAAAGCTGCTCTCAATTAAGATACAGGATGGATGTAACTGGAACCCCTTGATTTTCCTTAATAGCGCTTACATCATCTTTGCTCCTTTCCTGGCCGGTCTGTGGGATTGATGGAGATGGAGGAGTGACTGAAATAAACAAGTAAAGCCCCACGGCATAACAAATCTGTGGTTTGCTACATAACAGCTAATAAGAACGTTTTCCTTCATGTCACACCCCTGACTTGCAAAGCATCACGTCGCCTGAAATGTGCCCCTTGGAAGATATGGGACTCGTTCTCAGGACAAGAATCTGACCGCGTCATCTGTCAGCGGGGGCAAAAGAAACCGACATCACATTCAAGTTTTTGACTGCGCCAATTTAAGGGAGCATTAAATACCCCCTTTGATCATTCTAAAATGTGCGTTAAAAAGCATGAACTGCACAACATGGACCATGCCACATATTTCAGCACACGCAGCTTTCGGGAGAAATTTACGTACACAAAGTCAACCACCTAACACTTTCCCCAAAAGAATTTTTCCCGTCTTTGACAAATTTACCAAACAGCACAATTTGTAGTATTTCAACAAGGGTGACATTTTTAGTACATTAATAATTAGCTCCAATCTAAATTGCTCTGTTAGCTAAGTAGAATTTAAAGAGAGGTCTATGATTTACATTTACTTCAATGTGCTTAATTGTCTAGCTGGCGGAGAAAGTGGGAAGCAGCAAATATAGATCTGGTACAGTAATAAAATTAAATGAGAGAACAGATGCTTACTGGGACATTGGTCCAGTGTTTGTAAATCATGTTTTTAAATTCTAAGAATACAACATATTAAACACTACAAGTTTCCATTCTGAAAACATCCAGTCCTTATTGGCCCTCCCTGATATTATATGGTGTTCAGGACTTGAATTTTCTGCTTTTAAACCCTTCCTTTTAGACCTGTGCTTAGAAGCAATTTTTCCATACTGGTCCTTCATCGTGACTTACTTCATGTGTTAATGTATGGCAACATGATCTCTTTCCCAATTCACAAGAAAAAAAACTTTCCAATTATGAGTTAAAAGGTGAAATCTGACACGCCACAGTCCTGCAGAACTGGGTGTAAATGTTGAGAACATGACATCACAACAGGAACAGCTGCCAGGCCAGATCCTTCCATAACCTTACTTTTAAAACCTCCTGGAATTAAGGCATATTGAGGGGGGAGGAAACGCCTACTAGGAAACAGATTTACATCTTTTCTGGGTATCCTTAAAGGAGAAAAATTCCACTGAAATTAAAATATGCTGATTTTCAAGTTCACCGTTTATGGAATTTACAGCTAAAAAATGCTTAATTCATGCTTCCAAGTAGTAACATTTATATTTTATGTTTCCTTTCCTGATGCATGGATCATGACTGACATTTGGCAACTTTGTACACTTTAAAGGAAACATTTTGCCATGACCAAGGCTTTTTAACTTTTATAGCATCAGGACTACACAGAAAATTAAGAGTTTTAAAACAGAAAGTGGTAGAAGACTGTCTTTGATGTATATATATGAGGATTTGGGAATGTTGAGGCCAAATAAAGAGCCAGATATCAATATGCAAAGAACAAAAATAAAAACCTCACCATTTTTGTTTGACAATTTCCCAAGCAAGTAGATTTACTATATTCTACATATAAAGCAAGAGCATTATCTGGTGATGAACAAATCCCCTTTCAAAGCCAAATTTTAGGGAAAAAGCAGCAAAGAAGAAAGAGAATAAAATAATTTTATGGCATTTTGTTCTACCTGTTCTCTCAAAGAGAAATGAGCTGATTTGCAATACTTGGTTTAAAATTACACTAGAGGGAAAATACATATTTGGGGGGGGGGGGGATCATATGCATACATTAGATGGGCATGTGAACTTTAGGGCATCACTGGTGAAACTAATGAAATCATGCAAGTACAATAACTTGAGATATATACACACACATACATATAGACACACACACACATACTTACACACCCATCATTTTTTCTTAACCACTTGCAGTTCACTTCATATTCAGAGTGCTGTACTCGTAGAGAACAGCAGGTGGCACAGTAATGCAGCGATAGTACCTTTGTGCCACAGTAATCCAGCGAGCCTTAGATTAATCCTGTGAACCATAACTTGCTGCTCCAAAGCCGGACAGCAAATTTAAAACTATAATGAAGACCAATACTTGGTATATTTGTTCCATGTGTCAAATGAATGTCAAGGCAACGTTTGAAATTGTGTCCAATTTGCTGACAAATCTTAAAAATGCATTCTCAATACTACGTTGTTTCTACTTTGTTTTGGAATGGCTAGAAAGAATGCAAAAGTTATACAAAGCATTTATCCCCACACACCAAATCTGATTATCCTGCACAGAAATACATCATTCTTGACAGAATCACATAAGATGGTATAGTTTATAGGAACCGCCATCGTATGGCAGCCCCCTGTGTTGCATATTACATTAAAGCTACATCGGAAATTCACACCATTACAATTAAGCCTTAACATTTAACAAGGACTGTGTACGTTTTTACATCCAAACCAGTGGACATTATTCCGCAGACTCCCCAGGCTTTAGTGAATATACTTCGTTGTTCAATAAACAGGATGCTAATGGAACGCTTCATAATTTTGAGAATAACTTTTTTTCACGGGTAAGATGTATTACTTATCTACTAGATTGGAATAGATACCAAAAGGAACATATACCAGATACCAAATGTAACTTGTTATTAAATATTACATACCAAATATACAGCTTAAGGCCATCGCCAAATCTCACACTGTTAAATAAGCAGTTAAAACACATATTTATAATTCAGTAATTTATGAAGTGTTAATTTATGAAAATAAAGAACTGCACATTCGATACACCAGCCAGAGAAAAGTAACAAGTAAATTCTAATTAATATACATTTACAATAAAGAAAAAAATACTTTAAAACTTTATAACTTTAACATTTTTTTAACAAAAAAAAAGTCGTTTCTAAGTTAAATTCAGAGACAGACGAACTCCGGACTAGAGGAAAGCAATTTCTAAAAATGTATACTTAGTACAACTAGTATAACCAATACAATCAGTGTGATGAAGGGTGCATGAGATAAACCGCACCCCCCTTACATGAGGTCGACATGAATGAGTTCGCCACCAGAGACTGTATTTGTATATTACTGGGCCTTGTCAACATACTCCCAGGATACGGCCACAGGCATTTCCCCGTCTCTGCTGGCAACCTACCCTAAGACCTCACCCCAAGGCCAACTTTCAGCGTCTTTGTGACCCAGAACCCCGAACCGGTAACGAACCGTCACCGAGTCTAATGACAACGCTTCGAGGACAGCAAAGGAAACTCTTCCGCTAATACGGCTGCGTTTTTATTACTGTCAGTCGTATCAGTTTCGGAGTTGCTAATTCGGCGTGGCCAATGAAAGTCAAATTGAAATGAAATCTCCGATGGTCCGTTTGTTCTTCGCGGACCGGGGAATTTAACTTGGTTACAAAGTTAGCACATTAGCCAGCCGCGTTCAACTTTAAAACCCGCCGTTTTGCTGTTGTTGAGGCTCGTCTACTTTGGCGGTTCTTATTAATCTGTGCCATTCTAAATGCAGTATACGTTTGCCTTCTTGCCTTTCCCAGTTTATATGGTCACTAACCTTATGTGCAAGGAGCTCCCAGTGCTTCTACACATCCAAAATTCCCTCACTTTTTTTTTTCTCTCTCTCTCTCTCTCTATTATCCCTTCAGCATCTCCCTCACTATTTACCTCGTTTCTTTCTTTTTAGTTCCCTCTCTTTTTTTTACACGCCCTCTCTCAGAGAAACCGGAAGTTGTCACGCTTTTACTTGGCGCGCGCTTCAACTTCCCTCACGTGGAGCGCCGCCGGCTGTAAATCGCTGTGCGCGGTTTAGATCTGAAAATATGACTGTCTAGATTCTCTATAATGTATGTAACGTATATATGAACACAATCGTAAATGTTATTTCCTCCTCACAGAATGTGTTTACTAAATTCATTTAGCTGTGTGAAACCCCACTGTTATTTACAGTGTTGTGACGCGATGTCCTAGTTAATGTGAGCTCCTGATGTTTTATATTTGGAGTAATATACGTACATATTTATAATAAATATATTAAATAGCTACTTATTAATTCTGTTCAATATAATCATTTCATTACATGCGTTTCATCACATCATAGTTACATGCAAAACTACAGCGAATAAATACTTGGCATTAATCAACGAATAGATAGATAGATATCCGAAATTAAACATACTGTATATTAGTGATATTTCAAATGTACAGAGCGACTGCGTGTTCCTTTAATTATATATTTGTTCAAATCAAAGCGGCTCTGCTTTTCAGGAATAAATCGTTTTATTTTGGCTTTATTTGCCCTCGTGTTTACGCAATGCCAGTCACGTGACTGTCCAGCTGTAACGAATTAATTTTCATGCAATTATTACTCCATCTGTAAAACCCACAATTTTGGCCTGCTACACTTCAATTAGAAATAGGAAACCTACAGCACTTGGTTTCGCCAACTGATTAACCACTAGGCGGCACTGCATAGATTGAAGTTGCAGTGGGGGTAAACCATTAACAACACTGTGCTTTTATTGATGTATTACCGCAATGATCTATATTATATTGTGACGTTATTCTTATGCTTGGCTTTCCACATCAGAAAGCTGGTAATTCAGGTCGATTATATATTTACTCACGATATATTAAAATGGAATTCAAACAGGTTCACTGACTACCATAAATAGACCTTATAATACTGTGCCCAAATTACAGTACTTGCACCATAAACAGACCGTATAATGCTATGGTACAATTAGACTTCAATCCATTCATCCTTCAACCGCTTATCCTTGACAGGGTTGCAAGGGGTTCTGGGGCCTATCCCAGACACTAGAGAGCACAATGTTATTACTAAATAGTAATTATCACCTTGCATTTCACTGCAGGTTACAGATGAACTGTATAACTTGCATGTGACAAATAAAATGCTTGAATCCTTGAAAATATTTGATGTGGCCCAATTAATGATGCCTTCAATGAGTGGAGAGAAAGGGAGATTATCTGTCAGCATGTACCTGTGCATAATCTTGCGTGCACAATTACCTGCACTGTGCGTTTACTTCACTTTCTCCTGTACGGATGAGCTTATGACATCGAAAGACACAGACTTTTCTATACGGATCTAAAAGCACAACCTGGCTATCTCGAGTACATTTTTATAAAACCATCACTTAGATAGTAAAGCTTCGTAATTTGCATGAATGCTGTTACACAATGGCAACATTTCGCTTATGTTTTTGGCCTCGTGGAAACAACTGATAGCATGGTGGCTAGTGCTGTGGCTTCCTACCGGTCCCGGCTATGTGTGTGAGGCATTTGAAAGGTCTCTTCATGTTTGAAGAGGCTACTCAGGTTTCCTCCCACGAGCTGTTTAGGTTGACTGCCGTGTCCAGATTTCTCCAGTTTGTGAGAGTGCGTGCCATGTGGCTCACCGGCTGCTCGCCAGTGGGTCCTCGGCCTTGTGTCCTGCACTTTACGGGGTGCGCTCTTGGCTCTCCGTGACCATGCGCAGATTTGTTAAACAGATGAATTGGTTACGAGATAAGGTAAATTTCGTAAAATTTTATTAACCGATAATGCTAAGAGCAAATCAAACTTTAGCTCCGGGCAACTGACACTAAATTTAATACATACTTACAGCTGCACTGTAATTAAATTATGTGCATAACCTGGAGCTACTGAAGTGGAGCGCTAACAGCACAGCACACTCGTGAGGTTGAATTGGTATTTATCACATCCAATTAGTTCAATGCACACAGCTTCAGACTGAGCAGAAGGATGCATGCGTTATAGACAGTTACGGTTTTCTGTGAGGCAGAATTAAAGGATTCGTTTAGGGAAACGCCGGATGTTGCCTGTTTCTCGTCTTTTCTTTATGAGGTGGGTCAAGCAAAGGGGAGGTATTTTAAACAAAGCTGCGTAACATAACTTCACTGCTGAGTAAAAAAGGTATTTCTTTTGAAAGCTTTTATCATTTGACTATGTGGGTTGACAATAAAACAATATGGCTAGCGGCCGTTTTTAAACTGATTTATAGTTAACAGACTAAGTAATTTTTTTAAATAAACTTGTATTGAACTTTTAGCCATGACATTGAGATATACTGCCTAAATACACGTATTATGGTACCAGGATGAGAAAAATAAGCATAAACATATGAAAGAGAGGCAGAAGATTTGCCCTGCTACGTCAAGGCAGAATGAGCCCCACCCCGAATTTAAGTCAGAAGGACCACGTGCATCACAGTTGTTGTAAATCACTTAGTTGATGCATTCTGGGGGATAAAGTTAAAAGAATAGCTAAAACGCTAAGGTGTAGAACTGCAAGTACTTGTGACACCCTGACTGAGCAATTATCATTGGCTGTTGACCAGCATGGTTGTCTCATAGCAAGCATAACTATGTCCTTAGATCACCATGTTAATACGAGGTTTGCGAATCCCTTCCTCAAATCAATAAAGAATAGAGAGAAAAAAGTACAAATTTTCAAGGAGCTAAGATATCAACTGCTGGATCCTGTCCTAGAAGTTGGGTAGACCAAGAAAAGCACAGCTGTTCACACAGATGAGTTTGTTTAGTCGAGATCCAGACAAAACGTACGATACGCCGGGTGTCACATACTGCAGTGTCTCCCCCAAAAACAGGGTCAGCAATATTTTCAATGATTTTTAATGATTGAAGCTAAAATTACTCCACACACACACACACTCACACACTCAGCAATTTTAATAATACAACCACATAAGTGGCCTGAAATGTACCAAATTGTCCAAAAACATCATGTCCAGCCTACCACCCCTCACCCCATTTTTCAACATGAATTTCAGAATACAGGCTTGTGTCAAAGCCTGAGATCTTTCCATAGCAGCAGGACCAGGCAGGAATCTCCACCCCATGATTATACTTGGTATTGTCATCAATGAACATTGTGAATTTCTCCTAAATCTTCATGCCTTCCAACAACATTGATCAGCATATTGGTAACCTGTGGCCTGTACTACGAAGCGGGGTTACTGGCTTATCGGGGTAACTTGTTGGATTTAAGGTAGTCTGGGCAAAATGTAAGTGAGCGAATATGAAGTCCATTTAAACTGTGGTAGCTTAAATCCGACAAGTTACCCCGATAAGCCAGTAACCCCGCTTCGTAGTACAGGCCACCGGTGACACCAAAGGTCAATCAAATAGTATGTTAGTATAACATTTTTTGCCTGGAAATTTATATTGTTTTTTTTCTTAAAAAGCTATTTACAAGGTTAGTAAATCTTTCATCAATAAATATAAGAATCACGTTTCACATTTTAGTATTACAGAGGCTCCTCTACTTACGAATGAGTTACGTTTCAAACGGCCGTTTGTAACTTGAAATGTTCGTAAATCATTATTCAACATCATTTTAAGGGTATACGCAAGTACAAAGAAATAGGATGCTGGGAGTACGCACGCTACGCTGCTGCGCGGCGGGAGTAGCGAAGAGAAGTCGTACTAGACGTAATTGGCACGCAGAGTTCGTAAGTTGAAAGTTTGTAAGTAGAGGAGCATCTGTACTGTGAAAATGTCACACAATTTCTCCTTTTGTTTTATAAGAATTACATGAATTTACAATTTGAGATTACTGAGACATTTCTGTTAAAGTACTTAGCAAGAGTTTTTGGCGTTTGATCTAGCATGAGACTGTTTTGTATTGGTTTTAATTTTGTGTGTTCTGTATGTATTTACCTTCTGTGTATTTTTATAAGCGTAAATGTGCTATGTAAATAAAATTGAGTTGACTTGCAAAAAGATCATCCTACAGCTGATAATTTAAAACGCAAACCCAATGAAATATTTATTCTATGAAATATGCAGATAATTAAAGAAAATTAACAATAATTTTAAAAATATAATATGAAGGGCCATTTTGGTACGGCATTGTATGATTCATTCAGCTACAATGGCATCCATCTCTCTGTCCCATGCCTGCTAGTTAAGTCAGCAAGCATTTAAAAATGGTAATAACTAATTAGTTTGGATGCTGATACACCATTATATTAAAAATGTAAATGATTTCCTTCACATTTATTAATTAATCTTTATGTCTGCGATCCAGCTATATAATATACAGTACATTATCTTGGGATGTTTTCTGTTCATTAAGATAATAATAAACTTTGGAAATTCAGTAATTATCCTCAGCTATTTTGTGACATTTTTAGTGCCTTAATAACCCTTTTCTATTTAAACTGCCTGTTTTCTAACCAGTTACAAAAAGAGTGAGGCCTTTAGTGTTTTAGTGTTGCTCTGTCTAGCAGGCCACTCTTTTTGTGCAACATTGCTATACCATCCAAACCCTCCTCAACAGCTGCAAACTAATAACACCTGCATTATGTGCTTAGGCAAACCTGCTGAAGTAAAACAGCAGCAATGCAGCTAGTTTGCTTATACAATTGGTATTTGTCACAATGAAATGCACAGAACCGCAGACTGCAGAAGTGCATGCATTTTAAAAGCAGTTAAGGTTTTCTATTATGCAAAATTACTGGGTTCATTCAAGCAAACAGGGGTCATTCTATAGAAAACTGTGCCATTGAGGAAGAAATATTCCTTAGCTGTGTCATAATTTTCAGTTAAACTGTTCAGATCAAGCCTAATAAGGAAATGGCATTTATGGCTGGCTTAATGCCATGCTGCGTTCCTTGTCTCTAAAGGAAGTTAATGACTAAAGATGCCTGTTCATCGCACCATGCACAAAATGCTGCATGACTGCAGCAATGCCAACTAGCCCGTTATGACTCATTGTTGCTTAGATTTTGCACCTGTTGATTTATTGAACACATTTCTGTTTATTGCATTTTAATACAACTAGATATTCTTAT